ATTATGAATTGCTGAAATGAACGAAGCAAAAGTGACTTCCCTTATAATACTCTGATTTTTTTAAATTTTTTTTTTTTTTTTGGTGGTATTTCTGTGACCACAAAGATCACAGTAGTCAGGGCTACAAAGGTGCAGAAAAGATGCTACTCACTGGTGAGTAAGACCGTTACAGCTGTGTGTCTGTCAACATTGGGCTGCTCCTACAGCAAAATTCCTGTCTGAAAGCGGAATTAATTCTACTACTTGAAGAATTGGACTGATCTGTGCGATTATTTGAACGTGAGATTTGAAGTTGCCTCTGACCTTTTATGTAACGTGTTCCTTATAAAGAAACATTTTGTAGCACTGCATGTAGAATAACAACAGTAAGGCTTTACTTTCCGTAAAGCACACTTCACAGTAATTTTATTTAATGACTGCCATGTTTCTAACTTCTTGGGTGTATTAACGGTGGTAGCTCCAGCTGACAGCGTACTGGGACATTAAATGCTGCTGATCCCTGAGTGTGTTTCTCTGCAGTGCCTTTACGTGCGTTTCTCCAGTGGTCTGCCCTACCCAGGAGAGTCTGTTCAGACTCTGCGGAGCGTTCACAGCCGCTTCCCCTCCGAAGGGGCTTTGCTGGTGTTGCCCCGCAGCACTCAATCCCCCCTCGGGGGGGTGAGGGGAACCCTAATTGTTTGCAGTGACTCCCCGGCAGCAGCGGTGATGGGATGGAGGGACAAGAGTCCTCCCCTGGCTGGAGTTCAGCGTCTGGTTCTCTCCCATCCTGGCAGACCAGGTTTTGTTATTTTTAACGTGGGAATAAAGCTGACATTTAATTTATGTGAGTTTTAGTGAGAAAACACTGCTTTTATATAAGTATCATTTCTATGGAAATTGAGCTTGGGGTATTACTGACAAGCTAGCCCTTGGCTACAGAACCTTTTCCTTGCCTTACACTTTTTATTTTTGCTTGCTCTCAGGCTGCAAAGTGCTTTTGGTTTCTTTTCAAAGTCATTTAGACTCCTGAATACCTGACCGTGTTGTATTTGGCCCCAGGGCCAGGCTGCCCCCCTCTGAACCAGGGATGAGGGGAAGGATTATTTCCCCACACCAATCCCTGACAGGTACTGAGGCTCCCCTGGTCCCGCTTGGAGTGCAGCAGGCTGAGATTTGATTTGGGTCTGTAATGCCCAGGGGTAGCAAAACGCACGTTCTCTGCAGGAGGATCTTACGTCTTCCCTCGATTTTTCAGTTAATTTCTGTTAGCAGATATGTAGTTCCCAGCAGGCAGGTGCTGCTCTAAGTTTCCTCGAGGCGATAGATCTCTTTTGGCCTGATGCTGCAGTTTCCTTGTTCCTTGTGCTCATCTGATTCAATAAAGTATTACCAAATTTTTTTTCAGGCCGCTTCTATTCATTTTTTAACTCTTTATTGAAAATAAGTTGCAGTTGGTACACAGACACTGAAAATACATAATCACAGATTGTTCTCTCAAAAGATTTTTTTATATATATATAATATATACAAAAGTTGTAAACATTTTTAACATATTTCCGTACACAGCCCACTTTTACCACAATGCACATAAGGTTAGTGACAACTGCAACTCTTTGAAGCGGTCTGCTTATACAGAGGTATCTGCAAAAAAAACTTCCCTTTGCAAACCACATTTGGTATCAGTTTGATATTAAAACTCTTAAAGAATCTGAGGTTTAAATGCGTATTGCAACAAAATCCAGGCAGCTGAACAGGGGTTTCAAGTCAATACAGCAAAGGCTGTTTCTGAGCCTTGGGGGTGGGTGGGAGAGGGGCTCCTGGCCAGGGTGGAACCAGCCCCCTCTGGTCCCCTGACGCATTTTGGGAAAACAAAGGCTGAAGGGAAGTCTGCAAATTTATATATACAGTAGCTTTTATCAAGGGAAATACTAATTACATGAAAGGGAGGGTGGGACTTACTCATGAGCAGCCAGTGACCACAGTTGGATTCATTTGAAGTGACCTGGCTGTGGCGGGCAGAGCAAAGGCAGAGCCAGCTCTGTGCCCTTATTTGGGGGAGGTGGGAGAGAAGAGAGGGGTAGGAATTGCCCCTGGAAGGAGCTGCAGGTCGACAGAAATTGAAAAGAAAAAGCTACGGTTGTCACCGGCTGTTGTAGCATGAACTAAGGGGAAATGTCCTACATGTCAGGCAGAACAGCCAGTGACATCCCAACTGCATGTAGATGTGATTTTGCTTGGCGTGGGGGGGGGGATGGTGCTCAAGCTGTGGGGGCTACAGAAGCGTGTTAACAGAGGGAGACTGTTTACTAAGTCTCAGTTAAGCAAAACTTCCACCTCGCTAATAGCTTAAAATGTTGGGAAAAAGATGCCAATTCTTTGAAATCTTTTAATATGCTTAAAATAAATACACAGAACTCATAATGCGGTTAACTTCAGTGCTGAGACGTGTCTGTGTTGTCACAACTGAACCTCCTGGAGCAAGGTGATTTGGCAGAAAACGCCTCCAGGAAAGGTACAGGATTGTGTGAATTCTATTCTTTGTGCCCAATTTCCGTGCTAACACTACGCAGAAGCTTGTGGCGTGCTACCTGGGAGCAGCACAATCCTGCCCTCGAGCTCGCCGCTGGGCTTCTGAGCTCTGGGGGGAGAACAGGAGCTCTACAAACAGCTTGGGAGGAATTGGGGGGGGCCACAGCATGACCCTGGCACCTGTTTGGGACGTTTGGGCACAAGGAAAAGCTGCGAGTGCTACTGTACCGAACGGACCAGGAGGAAAAAAGTGGGAGAAAGAAGTATGAAGGCTGATGTTACGCATACTTGAACCCCAAATAATAAACTAGTTATTACACCGACGGAGCTAATTCTCTAACCATAAGCCCGTAAGGTTACACGTGGTTACAGCCCACACCTGCACACACTAGTCTGCCTGACGAGTCACGGACACGCCGATGTGATACAACAGTCACGGCACTGCGGACACCGAGCGGCTAGCGGGGACGCTGCGGGGGCTTGCAAAGAGGAGTCTGGGCACGGGGCAGGCATGGGGCCGGCATCTCGCCCTGCCTCTGAGCACGTTTTTCATTCAGCAGGGCCTCGGTGGGTGCTGCTGTGGGGCTGGGGAGCTACGTGGGCCTTTGGCAACGGCCTCGCCGACAAACCAGAAAATGTTTTTTGTCAAGGTGGGCACTCTTTCTAAGGAGTGAGGTGTCATGGTACCACGTTAATTACGGCTTGTCCTGTCCTCCCTGGCTGATGCAGCCTCGGCAAGGCGACTACGTGCATAAACCCACCACTAGTGCCCGGAGAAAAATCCACCAGTTGGGGGCTGCCTGCTTGTATGTGCTGCCTGTCCCTGCCTGCAGTGCCAGCTGCGACCCGACCCCCGTGCTGCCCCACGGGGACGTCCTCACTCTTGCCTATGGGGACTGACCTTGTCGGTGGCAGCAGGAGCAGGGTTAAGCCTCCTTGAGGTGCCTGTTGTGGCTGGACACGTTATTCCTGGCTCTGGTTTAATCAAGGAGCAGCTGTTCTGCCTTCCTGCTGCCAGGAAGCCTCTTGGGCACCCAAGCCCCTTCCTCCTCCTCCTCTCCTGCCCAGCAAAAGGCAGCCAGGTCCTCGCATGCTCACCGTGCCAACTGCAAGTTAATGGTTAAGACTGACTTTTGGGGAGCTGGAAGAAGCTGCTGACCTCAAGAAGAACAACGGTGCCTCGGCCGGGGACTGGAGTCGTGCTGAAGTCGTCCCTGTTTCACCGTTGCTGGTCTGAAGGTCAGTCCGGGGGTGAGAGCGTGAGTGGGGAGTGAGTGAGTGGGGTGTGAGTGGGGTGTGCATCCCCTCTGCATCCCACCACTGGCGGGTGGGAGGGCGGGGAGGAAAGAAAGGCAATGCAGGCCTTGGTGCGTACATTCAGATGTTGTAATATTCAGCATGGTTACACCAGGGGTCAGGACACGTCCCGCAGTCAGACAGAGCTTTAGTTCTTTACGGTTACAAGGAAACTCTGGAACAGTTATATAGTTAGAAAAAATACAATGTACTGAACAAACATTATCTCACATACAATCAATTTAAACATTTAAATTGATTATAATTTTGCTAAAATATTAACACAAGTACTGTTTGTGCTGCTAAAATTTCAGTGTTCCCTCTAAGGAAAATATTGCTACAGTTCTACCGTATCCTGTATTAAAATCCTTTGCTTTTTTTTTTTATTTTTAACCCAGCAAGACTCTAGAAAAATCGCAAGGGTCCCCTAATTAAGTTAGGCTTATACCATACTGGGGTTTGGGTGTCCCTGGCCTGCTTAATGCAAGGATGACTCGCTGCTCAGCAAGCCCTGCTGGCACGAGCCACCAGCAGATGCCCCTGGGCCACCTCTTCCTTGCTCCTTGCATTAGCCAAGCAAGTGACACCTCTGATAGAGCAGCGCAGCATCCTCCTGGCCCTGCTCCTGCCTCCCTCACCACGGGCGTTGGGGCTGAGCACTCCGTTCCCCGCAAGTGTTTGAACCTCAAAGCGGGTGTGCAGGTGCCCCGAGGGAGACACACCTGAGGGGACAGCCCACAGTGGCACCGCATGCGGCCACGTCGTGTGGGGAGGCTGCAGCAGGGCGGGAGAAGTGGCCAAATTGGGAAATGCTGCCTGAAAATTCCCGGCACAGCTCGAGCAGGAGGAGCTCAGTGCCAGCACCTTTGCTGCAAACACACATTTAACCCGGCCTGAATAGAAGGGGAGTCAAGTAATGCACTTTGTCACTGATAATGACTGCTCCTGATGAGATTTGCTGCTTATTAATTAATGCATTTATCTGCAATTCAGCAGCAGAAATGAGCTGTGTTAACGATGACAGAAAACTGCTGGATGTTTTTGCTACAAGGAGAGCCGGGGCAGTCCGGTAACTATTGCTTGTCACGAGGTCAGAAGGCAGCATGCAGCGTTTGCCAGCGTAAGCTGGCAAGGTGAAAGCCCAGCTCGCCGGGAGCCGGGAAAACCGGGGGCTTCTAAGGACGGAGCTCCACCGAGGTGGACGGAAATTCAAGTTTTAGCTCCTCTGCTTAGTCCTTAGTGACAAATAGCTCGGCTCACAGCCACTGCGCAGGCAGACAGGCGGGGAAAGCAGGCAGGTTGCTGACAAGGATCTACTGGATTTTGCACATTTAGTTGTTTTTGACAAGGCAGGAATTCTGCAGCTGAAAATCAAAAGTGAGCCCCTTTCCTGGGCGCTTTTCATTCACTCTCTTCTCCTGCTATTTCCAAACCCAGGGCCATGAGTCCCCACGTGAGGGGCTTCAATGGCCTGTAAAGTCTTTCCAATTCACCATCTGAATTCTCAGTTCTAGAGACCGCGGGGTAAAAAGTACGTTCACACCTGAGGTTCTGCTGCAGCTGATGACAGATGGCGGCTGCTCCCAGTATAAAAATACAAGTTCAATGCCACTCCTAATTGGCTTGGACTTTGAGTTGGAGACACCCACCCCTTTTGTTTTGGCAGCTCTGGGTTTGAGCATGAGTAAGTCGTCAGCGTTGCCAACCACAAATCATTTGTAAATTTGCAAACTTTCCCAGCCCCTTGGTGAAGAAGTGGAACTGCAACGCGCAGCATTTTCTGCTGATGAAAGGCTATTCCTAATTAGCAGCCAACTATTGCTGAACTGGTTTCCAGTTTCAAACAGTAACTTTTGACATCCTCAACCAGAACCCTGCTGAAGCGATGAAGCAATTTGGATATTCAACATAACCCCAACCCCTATGACCCCATGCCGCTTGCATCCTAAGCTACGTTGGAAACACTTGTCTGGATTTTTGTTTTTCTTTTTTTTGTACAGTAAATATATACAAATAAATGTAACACAGACACCACTTATTTCTTTGTGAATTTGGCACTTTCCATGGAACATGTACAGGAAAGCTCTGCAGCGGGAGCAGCACGGGTCCGATGGCCCCAGCACTGCCCACCCACCCTCGCCACCACGAGACCTGATTCTGTGTTAGCTCTGGAAGAACGTGATAAACAGCAACTCCTCAGCTACTGTGTTTTCTAACAGGAAAAGTTGTTCTGGGCTTTCCCAGGTGCTCAGCAGAGCCCAACACCTACTGCCCGGTGTCAAGCCTCAGAGAGGGCATTTTATCATCTTTCGCCACGTGTAGGTGATGTGGTAGCAACCTTCCTTCCTTCTGACTTAGAGGGAACACTGCTTTTATAAAACCCTTGGACAGGTAAGACAAGAACCAATACCACTGTACAGAATTCACTGCACAACTAGCTAATAGTAAGGAACCCAGCACTGACTTGCCACATTAAGGAAATGGGACTGAATACATTTGCAATCAACCGGTTAAGTGTACTGCACCGCAGGACTCGGTCTCTCGGTACGTGGCCCACGCCCCTCAGTACGCTGGCACTTGGTAACCTTTCGGGTTGGTGTCTAAGGTCTCGGTGAAGGGGGGGCTCTGGTAGGTCTCTGTGCTCTCGATGCCGCTGCCGGTGGGGTAGCCGGGATACGCCGCGCTGGGGTCGGCAGCGAACTGGTCGGTGGCAAAGAGCGACATGTCTGTCCCCAGGCGGTATCTCTGCAGCGCCTTCACTGCCAGCACGACCTGCCGCGGGGCGGAGGAAGATTGGGGGGGGATGGCAACGCCCCGGCCAGGACCCCACATCTCCCCAGGACTCCACGTCTCCCGTGACCCCACATCCCCCCAAAACCCCAGGACCCCCCGCACCCTGCATCCCCGCAGGACCCCACATCTTCCCAGGACACCACATATCCCCAAAACTCCACATCCCCCATGATCCCCCATCCCTCAGGACTCCACATCCCCCCAGGACCCCACATCACCCCAGAACCCCAGAACCCCCCAGGACCCTGCATCTCAGGATGCCACATCTCCTCAGGACCCCCCGTCCCCCCAGCTCACTTCAAAGCACTGAGCACTCTGCAGCCCGCCCCGGGCAGCTGCTGGCCCCACTCCCTTCTAGCCAAGAGCTAAACCAACCCCAAATCACAAGCCCTAATGCTAGAGAAGCCATTTCTATGTGACAGGTTGACTCCCAAAGCTCTGCCTGGGGTGGGGATCACACCCTGGGCTCGGAGTCCCTGGCTGCGTGGATTTGGCACCACTGGCACCAATAAACCCATCTGCTGCGGGGAGGGAAAGCTGCCAAGCCCTGAGCCGGCAAAATAGGTCAGTTCTGCTGAGACTCCTTCACCCTCTTCCAGGTTGCCAGTATTGAGGTCGCAAACTGTGGGAAATGCGGGTGGCAGAGCTGCGAGCGCACCACGCTCACTCTTATTTCAGGAAGTTTCATTAACAATTCAATTAGTTTATAAATGACAGGCTTGGGGTGGTGGTGGGGAAAACCACCCACAGACATGGAGAACCCGCTGAGGCTCGTGCTGGTGGGGCTGGTGTTGGTTGTGTACCACATATCGATCCCATGGAGCAGCTGGGTTGTTAATGGGACCAGTGGAGGGGCTACTGGTGTGTCCGCACATCCCAGGCATCCTCTGTGCCAGCGGCAGGGCACTGGGTCCCTGCTGCTGCTGGGACTGGGGGGGAGCATCCCACCCACTGCCCTTCCCCAATGGCTGCACTGAATGGGCAGCCGGAAAACAGGCGGTGGAGAGGAGCTGCGGGGGAGCTGGGATTAAAAGAGATTTATTTGGATAATAATAGAGCAGGGAGCAGTTAAACTGGTGAGTAACTGGAGCCAGGCCTGCTGCTGGGGCGCCTCAGAATGGCTTTTGCCCCAGTTCTTTTAAGGCAATATGGCATTAGTGCACATCTCAGGTGCTCTCTGACCATAAAAAGCTCTTAGAGGGGTGGTGGTGGTGACCCAGGGGCCATCCCTGCTCCTCCACATGCAGCCTCCAGAGCAGGAGCCGCCCGAGCAGCACAGACACCCCCAGGTACATGTGGGGTCCAGCAGCTGCGGACAAGGGGCCCCATGGGTTTCACACAGCCCTGGCAGACATACCTCTGCCACTGTGGGGCCCCGGGGATACACAGAGCCTAAAAGTGGGAGCAAAAAAGGGTTTCTGCAAGACCCTGCCTCCAGGGTGGGCAGCAGAGGAACCAGCCTGGCTTCCCCCGAGGGTGAGCTGATGAGCCCGAGAGCTCCTAGAATCTCTCTGCCATGCCGTGAGACCAGCTCATTGCAGTGATCTGCTGCTGGGGACTCATTTGCTTCCAACCAAGCCTCTCCCGGGGCTCTGACGAGGCCCTGAAATGAGGGCAGCTCATGGCTGGCAACACATTTTCAATGCCAATGCAACTTTCCAGCTGCAGAAGGGGAAGTCTGGAATTCCCCAGTGAGAGGGGAATGAGCTGATGCTTCCTGAGTAAGAAACAACAAGTTTCACCTCTATTTGGAGGGACTGCAGGTTTCCCCAGTACAGCCCCTTATTGCCTACCAGGATTCACTTCTCCAAACCATGATCCCGATTCCTCCTCCCAGCTCAGCATTGAGCTCACAGCAGGTTTCATTTCTCCTCTCCCCACCTTAGCTCTGAAGCTGAACTCACCCAGACAATGATGGAGAAGAAAGAAAAGGTGATTGCTGCCCGGGCAGCGTCTGCTCCTTGCGAAACACCTTTGCTCATCTTCGTCCGTTGCCACTGGTTTGCTAGGAAGCAGAAGGCTACAAACCACAGGAAGGACAAGAAACCTGAAAGAGAACAGAGCTGGTCAGTGCTTTAGCTGCCCACCACCTCCTCAACAAACCCCTTTGTTGATGCACAAACATGCGGTCGTCAAGATTTTGAAATAGCAACTATGATCTTGGGTGCCTCGGCCTGTGTCGTGGCCCAAGCAGAGCTGTTTTAAAGAGGCTGATTCGCAATTGCCAAAAAAACAGGGATAGAAGGAACCTTGAGGGGTCACTCTGTGTGTTGCCTGCCTGAAGTTCAGCTCACTTGCACCTCAGCCTGATCTCAAAACCCTACAGGGACAGCACACCCTCACAGTCTGGGATTTCAGCACGCTTGCAGGCGCTATCTGCTCAGTTCCAGCACTCCAGTGTGTCGAGCCACCGTCCCCTCTGCTGCCTGGACACCACCAGCTCTTAAAGACTTCAGACTGGATACTGCAAACCTCACCCAGGATGAAGCCTGTGCCCCTGGGAGCAGCACCAGGCTGCTTGGCTGACGCAGGAGAAATCTTTACAGTTGTTCTGCGACGGGCTCTGCCTTGGTCCAAGGACACAGCTCAAGAGCTTAAAAAAAGGCAAGGAACAACCACCCAGGAATATGGACATGCTGATATTAACACCTGCTCTGAACACAAGTGACCCTGGGACATCAGTGCATCCCATGAGTGCAGCTCATCGTGCGCCGTGCCCGGGGCAGGGCCGTGGCTGCCCACGGAGCTTCACATGAGAGCGCTCCGCTCATCCCTGCTGCCCTCCTGTTTTCAGACTCTCTGGGCTCTGCAGGATTGAGCAAAAACACTCTGGTGATTATTCCTTCCTGGAACCAAATCTGGTTGAGCAAGATAGGGCTGCAGCTCCCCTAATTCAATCACCAGCCAACAGCACTGCCTGATGCCAAGGAACCAGAAAATAGTCAAGAAGCAAGCCCCAAGCATACAGTATAAGGAGCAGTCATGTTTTCTAGCGCTGGGAAGAGGAGCTGCACAACCTGGAGCCTTCCATGATGCTGTTTTAAGGGTCTCCAGCTTTTCTGAGCATCCCCAGCACAAAGATTCTGGGTGTCAATGCAGGTGTGGACGCCGGGCACTGGCAGGCGCTACCCAGCACCTTCCCAAGGATCGTTAGACATCGGTATGAGCAGCCACACTGCCAGTCCCACGGGCAGCTGGCTGCAAAGCACAGTCTGACTGCAGGGAGAGGAAAGAAGCTCCCTTTATTTCCCTTTGTCTCACCAGTTGTTGCTAAGGATGATATAAAATGCATGTGTGCATCCACATCCAGTGTGAGATTTGCAGGGCTCATCGCACACCTCACCTTTAATTCAGAATTTGCTCCTAAACGCAGTTTAAGAAGACACACTCCTCATCTTCACTTGCATGACTAGGCCTGGGGCTTCTTGGCCAACGATGTTTTCATCAGCCTGGCCATGCTTGAGCCCTTGAACTGCCCTCACAGGAACACAACCTCCAGCCAGAATCATTCAGGCTTTCCTTTTCCAAATTACAGACTAATACAATACCTCCTTTTTGCTGAATACAGCTAATGCCTATCACCAAAACTGTCCCAAATACATTTTCATTTCCCCTTAGAATGACCCCTTGTCACCAGTGTTAAACAAGACCTTTGAGGCTTATTCCTCAAAGGTCATCTTCAGGGACAGAGATACTTTCTAGTTCCCCAGCTCTGTTATAACGGGGTGTCACCAGCAGCTGGCCCCAGTTAGGGGAAGCAGATCTACCCCCCAAAATGTGGATGCAGGAGTAAGAGTGCCCAAGAGACGGCATCAAATGACCAGTATGTGGTGGGTAATAGTCCCCAGTGCAGGAGATGCTCAACCACATCTCCAGATGCTGCAGCACTGCTCCCGGGTATTTGGGGAGCACTGCCCTCCCGTGCTTGAGGAACAAGCCTCAGTTAGGAGTTTCTTGCTCAAAAATGTGCTTTTTTGGAGACAGCAGTGTTCGGAAGCCAAAAAACACAGAGATGAAATGTAAGAGCAACAGGTTAATTCAGAGCTGCGCTGGGGGGAGCAGAGGGATGCTCAGGGACAAGCTCTGGGGCCATGCAGTGCTGACACCATGGGACACGGGGGCTCTCCAACAGGACCAGGCTGTGTTTTATAGGTTTATAGAGGGTGACCTGGTTTGGGAGGATCGTTTCTTTGTTTAACACTCGATCTAGTGCAGTTTGTCCTGGGCAGGACACCCACAGAGCACCAGTCCCAGCTGCAATACGGGGGCTGCCCACTGAGGCCCCATCTGTAGCTGGTGCCTTCAGAGGGTTTTCAAGAGTTAAAATGACATCATGCACATCTCCAAACCTCCACCGGCTGCACTGGGTATTGCAGCTACCACCTTCCTCTGCAACGCCCAGACATTGACCTTCCCAGTGCTAAAACTACTCACTGCTTCTCCAGAAATGTCTAACTGGGGTCACTTCTGCTGCCACCTGCACAGACTTCCTGGAGGTTTTGTGACACAAAGACAAGCTTTTCCCCTCCATATCCAGCCCTGCCTGGATCTCTGAGAAGAAAAAGGATTCCCTTCAGTGCCCTGGGGAAGCGGGAAGGCAGGTACTGCTGCCAACAAGGGAGAGGGGTCAGCCATGGGGAGAATCTCCAGAAACACCAGCCCGGTGTTGTTCCAAGCTTGGAGGACTGACACACGCCTGTGCATGAGATCAGACCTCCCAGGGAGCTCTCTGGGAACTATTTTTGTTTCTGCACCAACGCTTATTTTCATTTGTGGTCATGTTCACCTTCTGCTAGCACTCCTTCGAGATGAGACTTCACACCCGACAACATGAATCAGAGGTGCAGGATTGCAGGTGACTCCCCTCGCCCCGGGTACCTCACGGAGAACACGGCTCTGCCCTCACCCAGCACCCACACAGTCCCGGTCCCATGTGTATTCGCAACATCAGGTGTAACTGGGTGTTTTGGAGGTGTCTTGTTACTCACGAATTTTAAAACCCCAAGAATTGGGCTGAGCTGCCCAATTGTGCCAGCATGTGCCAGCCTCAGCTCTGGCTGAAAACAGGCACAGTAGCAGCTCTGCACCCTCCAACACCTTGGGGAAAAGGAGGATGCTGAAGAGCACCACAAGAGCCTGTAGATAATTATCGTTTTAGGATCTGCAGACAACAGAGGGCAAACACCAGGAAAGATGTGTTACAGCCATAATTACAGCCTGGTCCCAAGCAAGTGCGTGTCTACAAGAGCAGCTGTAAGAGCAGATGGAAGAGAAAACCGCAAATGCCGTTTACACAGCGTGGTGGCCCTGCCTGCACCCCTGCCTGCGCCCCTGCCTGTGCCCCAGCACTACCTCCCAGCCAGCTCGGTGGCTCTGAGCTGCCACTGATCCGATGCACAAGTCCTCTTTCCTTCAAGCAAAAGAAAGTGGGGGTTAATGCTTTCATTAACTCCCCCCACAGCCTCCATAGACAGCAACTGCCAGTTGACATCTGCTTCGCTGCCAGCCGGCACCAGGCTCCTGGGTGACCTGGGCAAAGGGCCAGAAACAATCCGATTTTCCCACCCCTCCCAACTGCCTGGTTTGCAATGCTCCCTCGTACCCCAGCATGTTCCTCAGCCTGTTCTTTCCCAGATGCATTATCAGCTTTTATATCAAGCAATAATGCAGAGATCACATATGGAGGGAAAGGATGAAACAGTTGCAAGGAAGCAGGAGGAAATCAAGCATCCCATCCTTGGTGGGGTGGGAATAGGAAGGGGAGAGAGTGAGAGGGTCCCACAGGGGAAGTCTCCAGGGATTATTAACGTGGATATAGTTAAACAAGGCAGATTACACGGGTCAACTCTGCCTCTGGGCAGACTGGGTGCCCAAGGCTGCCGGGAGCAGCACAGAGGGGTACGGCGGGCTGCGATCTCTGCAGCTGCGGAGGCTTCACAAGACCCTGCACTTCATCTCTGCTGCAGGATCTGCTCGTATCGACACTTCTTTGGGGAGCAACTGACTGCCAGGCATTGCCATGTGAGTGGGTGTATGGGCTGTGGCAGTTGGGCTGCAAGAAAGGTTTGGGGCAGTCGTAATTTTAGAAAAGTGAAGGCACAGCAATAGGAATGGGATAAGATACCCTCACCAATTCCTTCGGCCAGAGCCCAGGGACATGCACCCTCCGCTGGGAGCCAACAGGGCAACTGAACATCAGCAGTGCCACACCAAACCCAGGCTTGGAATGGGAAAAACAGCACTGGGTGGAGACGTGTTCATCTGTGACTGTGGACTTTGTTACAAGAGCCCCTGGATGTTTTTATCAGCACCAAGCTGGATTGCAGCACAGCATTTGCTTGGGTGCCCTGTGGGATGTGGTTCATGAAGTGGGAAAGCGGGGACTGTAAGAGAGCAGCAAGAAAGTTCAGGAGTTCCTGGAGGGGAGATGAACCAGGCAGTGAACAGAAGCAATGCCAGGCTGGAGGGGAGCTGGGATCTCTCTTTGCAGACCTCAAGAGGTGACAGTGTCAGTCACAGACTCGCACCCACATGATCTGCATATAAGTGATTTGTTTTACCAGCAAGAAAGCAGCTTGCCTGTTTTCTACCAAGAAGAAATGGCCTGAGGGAGCAGGATGTCTGCCCCGACACAGCCTGAAGGCACAACGAGCACACTCCTGGAGCCAGGGTGATCCCAGGGTAATAAAACGTCACCGCTGGCAGCACAGCTGTGTTGGGTGGATGTACCAGCGCAGACCTCTGGTGCAGCGCTGCAGCCTGTCCCCAGGGCTGAGCGCAACCTCTGCACAGCAGAGGCTCTGCAGGGCACAACCTGACTTCCCCAGCTCGCTGCTGAAGGCCGTGAACACGCCTGTGATGCATGACGAGAGCAAAACAGAAATGAGGCAGAGATTGAGAGTGGTGCCACTTCCCACAGGCCTGGCAGGGGAGAGGATGGCTGTTACGAGGTGGAAGCGGGGAGGATCGCAGCCTCGCACCACGACACGCAGCATCAGCCAGAAGATGGATGTGATGTTCCTCTTCTGCCTGAATCTAAGGGTTCAGGCACCGAGCCCCACAGAAGGGGCTGTAAATATCATCTAATGAGGGCTGGATGCTGGTACTCTAGCACCATGGGAATAAGCTTTCCAGCAAGGAGAGAAAACATCCTTAAAAACAAGCGAGTGCAGGGAGACGATGACAGATGTTTTCATTTGGAACCAAAGAGCCATCAGTGATGTTTGTGCTGGATAAATCACCTTCAGACTTTGCTTACCCAAGAGCCTGGAGACGGAGAACATCAGCTGTGGGCTCAGCCAGGCAGCTCTCACAGCAGCCAAGCAGGGGATGGCCTCTCCCAGTCAAGGCATCCTGCCCACTCGTGTTCGCACGGATCAGCCCAGGTCAAGGGGCTCAAAATGGTGCAGAAGATCCGTGCCAGCCCTTGGGAGCCCCAGACCCACCTCACAGCACAGCTCCAGGGGCAACAGGGGAATACAGTGGTGTGTGGAAGCGTGTTTCTGCTTTGTTCCAAAACACACATGCACAAAGTGAAAACAGACCCACATGTGTCGGATGAAACAGCATTTGCTTGAGCCAAAAACAGGAGATGTGGGAGGGTAAAACGCCCCATCTGGTCTGTGAGATGTGACCCTCAAGCCTCAATTTTCTGGGTGGCTTCACCGAACCCAGCTCAGCGAACGTCTCTGGTTGCAGAAGTGACACAGACGAGAGGGACACCCTCCTGTCCCCAAGTCACCACACACCGGCTTCCTCACTGCTGCCTTGGAGCTGATGGCTGGATGGCACAACCCACCTGCCACCCCCATTCTCCCCACCCGAGGCACGCAAGTTGTGCCACACCACAGGAGGAGAGGGGAAGACTCAAGCATGGAGCTGCTGGGACCTGCCCACAGAGCCAGCATTGTCCTTTGCAAGCACAGCAAAGCCAGAGACGTACCTGAAAAGCCGAGGTCCAGCAGGACGGCCCGTTTGCGGTCCTTCACACTGCTGATCTGCTGGAAGTAGAGGTCCACGACAAAGAAGAAGATACAGCCAAAGAAGGCAATGATGCCAATGGCAATGCCGTAGCTGCAGGCACTCTCATTCTCATTGAAGATACAGAGCAACTCAGGGTCATCACTGCCCTTGTTCACGTAGCACTCGTTCACGATGGAGCCAAACACCACAATGGAGAAGATCTGCAGGAGGAAGGAGAAAACATAACTTGCTGCTGTTTACATTTAACTGTTTTCCAACAGCAACATAATTGGATTCAATCCTGTCTTTGACTCCATGGCAACATGGCATTTGTGAGACAGATCCCGGCTCTCGCCTGGTTGGTGGCCCCAAGCAATGGGCTCGTGGATGGTACCTAGATCCTCCTCACAGCCTGTCTGCCTTTCAGTGGCTTGGTTTGCAGAGTATTTTAAGAGATGTTATTCTCCAGTCAGGCTAGGGAGGGAAAGAATAAATAGATGAGCCAGGTCTCTGCACAGTCTTTCTGCTCGTGCTGCTCTCCGCTGTCAGGCTGTGCTCGATAAACCCCCTTGTGTCACTGCAGAGCGGGGAGAAATGAAGTTAGAGAGGATAATTGAGTTGCTGAGCAGGCTGACCCAGGGAAGGACTGGATGCCTGGTGGAGGGGGACGGGACACGGCAGTGTGGGGAGGTAGGGAGCAGCTCACCTGGGCGCAGGGCAATTTTTCACCTGGCTTAGCAGGGGTTGAAGGATGCAGCATCTGCATCCATTATCCAGTGACCTGGCCCTTAGAGGGATAAAAGGGCAGGGGGGCTGCTGATGGCTGCCCAGGTCCCATTGCTGGGACCTGAGGAGGTTTCCTGTCCCTGAAGGCGGGGAAGGAGCTGGATGGCAGCACGTAGCAGCTGCCTAAATTAATACCATTCACAATGCTGCATGCTAAAGTAATTCCCTTATCCCTCTGACACCAAAAGCAGCAAGTGGAAACCACGGGACCAGCTGCATTACAATTGGCTCTGGAACCTGCTCCATTAGAGCCTAGAAAGTGCTGCACAAGCCGCTGTTTGGATTTCAAGGCTGCAAGCAGGGAGGGAAGCGAGGTGTGCAGACACCCCTCCATCAAGCTGTGAACCTCTGATCTCGTCCCTTGCTGCCAGCATGGGCTCCCCACATCCCTGCACGCCCCCCGCCCCGCCAGCTCGCAGGACACAGCTGGAGGCTGTGTATGCAGGCAAAGATAAGAGGCTTCTCCAGCACACCCCAGCGTGGCGGCTGCCCGGGAGCAGCTGGAGTCTCGGGGTATGGTGCAGGTCCTGTTCTGGACACCCCGCTACATCTTCTGCAGTAACAGCACAAGGCGAAGTGCCCGAGACCAAGATAGGCAACAGACAGAGGTGGCAGCCGAAGAGCCACATGATAAACCACAGCTGGTGGCTTTGCAAAGTGACCTGTGTCTCACGCTGATCCCCAGCCGTGGGCCACCTCCTACAGCCCTGTGCTCCCCAAGACACAGCATTAGCAGAGCTGGGTGAAACGGAGCAGAAGTTGCTATGAGAAACCATTCAGAAAGCTCTAACCACTCTTTAACATAGTATTGTGATAAGACATTTTCTCCCAAGCACTGGCCAAATGCCTCACTCCTTTCTGCTCCAAAGGATTTCATTCGGATTTCTATCCTTCAAACTCCTTTCAGTGCTGGGGTGAAACTGGGCCAGAGATTCTGCCTGAACCTACTTACCAATGCAAGTGTTCCATTAACAAACACGTCTCAGATTGTCTCCACTAAGTCTCCTCCAAATTGGAGAACAAAGAAATGGATCTGTGAAGCACTGAGCTACTAAAATGTGAAGGCATCAGTGAGGGATTTTTTTTTCTCTGTAGGGTGTCATCTGAAGCAAATGATGAGCAGAAGCAGAGTCTCTGGAGTACATCCTCCCTCAGGTGTGTAGGAGCTCCTGCAAGTAGCAACCCCAGCACCCCCCGCCTGGGACTTTGCCACCAGCTTCTCATGCTGATATCTGCAAGCACAGGATGGACGAGTAGGTTGCACCACGCTCGCTCCCACCTCCAGAAGCCCGCCAGCAGGACAACTACGGGCAGGGCTCATCTTTAAACCCTCTTAGCCAGGAGCTCTCCTAGCGACAGCAGACTCTTATGGCTTCTAGCACTTAAAATTCAGGCCATCAAAACACAGCTCCACGCTGGCTCCTTCCCCCCCATGGCTTAGTCAAGAGGACCATCATCTCCATCCCAGCAGAGGCGAGGACACATCCCTATCTATATGACAGGCATCAGGAGTGGGTTTCTGCCCAGGAAACGCTCCTCAGTCTCAGGAACTAGCCCGTTCTTGAAGGACACCCTCCTAGAAATGCGGGTCCTGTCCGTCATCCACCCCCAGCTCAGCTCAGCTCTGAGCACCAGCCACAAGCTTAACAGCAACCTGAGTGACCCGCTTGACTCTGCAACCTCTTCCTCACTTGGCGCCGTGCTAACGGAGCGCTCAGCTGTCACACCGCGACCGGCACATCATCATCATGCAAAGAACAAGAGGGCTGCATTGTAAGAAAGAAACAACAACAAACAGTAATAATAATTTTCCCAGTGCTTTGGCAGCAGCTGTAATATCAGCAGTTGTAAAAGTCTGTTCATAAATAATGCAAAATTGTTATTTACCATCAGAAATAACAGCAGCATTTATAAAACAGGCCCTGCAAGAAATAATGTGATTCTGGAAAACATGAATAATTGAGAACTTCTGATTCCATGGGATTATTTCTCCGGCAGGCCATTGAACTCATACTCCGCTTCTCTGATACGTGTTTTACTTAATCCTCCCAGGATTAACAACCTGGGCTACTTTTCTGTGTTTTCAGGTGCCATTTTCAGGGGGTGAGGGAGGGCTCCCATAAATACGATTAAGGAGGTTACAGGGCAGGGTGTCTGGCTGCCTGCACACAGGTTTGCACACCTGGGATGACCAGGGAGTGCTTCTGGATGGCCACAGATGGAAAAAAAAAAAAAAAAAGATGTTTCACCACTTAACTTCAAACTCCAGAGCGTTTTGTGAAACACAGCATTCTTCTTGCTGCCTGAGACCCCCTCGATGCAGCCAACATGGGACACGCGGCTTTTTCTCGGGAGGCCAAAATAGTAATGAAGTGCAAGCACACACATTTGATAGATTCACTCCAAACATCAGCGCTGGCTGAAATACTCCTGTCAAAACACGCTTTTCAGTCAAAACAAGTCTTTCCATGTTAAAAAAAAAAAAAAAAATGGTGCTGGTAAAACATTTTAATGAGAATAGATTTGGCGTTGTCTTTCTAAGGATAGATGAAAAACCAAACTTGAGAAAATGTGGGTAGATGGGGGAAAATAAAACCCCTACTATTTTTTAAAAGTTCATGCAAAACAAGCGCCATTTTCCAATCACCTCTACAAACCGCATTTGCTCAAACTTACAACTTACATCAGAGACTTGAAAGCCAAAATACAAGGTCAGATTTTCCACTGTGAGTGGGATTTTACAGGTCTGAGCAAGGCTGCGTGAATCCTGCTCTCTAGAGGTGCTCCTCCGACTCCCACCTCCTCCTGCCCGTCAGGTCGGTCCCCAACACCGCAGTCCCTGTGACCGGGCATGGCAGTGACAGCAGCCGGGGCCCAGTGCCAAGGCCTCTAGCACGCATCCATATCCCAGCCACCCTTCTAATGGGGCTCTTCCACATCTCACGGGCATTGTGAAGGAGCCTGAGCATTCACAGGATGCTTCGTTTTCCCGCTAAACAACCCAACACAACATGCAACACATTTTGCTCTCGCTGGGTGAACCAGTGCAAGACCTAGTAAGAAAACTGGATTATCTCCAGCCACCCCAGTATGAAATCACATCCCGCCTGCCAAAGCTTTCACAGAAATCTGCTTGCAGCTCGGGGTCTCCTGGCCAGCAGCCTGGCGTGCGGGTTGCCCAGCCTGGTGTCAGAGAGTGGCTGGGAGCCCCCGGCAGCCCCAGCAGCACAAAGCATTCCTGCTCCTCTCCACATTCAGCTGCAGGGAGGGATGGGAAGGAGAGCTGTCTTCTCCTTTCCATGAAGACTTGCACTTCAGCCACACAAAGGAGCTACTGTGCCTCAGTCACACACTGGGAGGGAGAACAACGCCCATCAGGGAGATGCACCAAGTGCTTGGACCCACAAGGACGCAGCTCAGCTGCTCATGCAAGTGCAAAAGGAGCTCGTGTTGCACCACACCAGAGAGAAGCCAGGGAGCTCACTTCTTAATGAAAGCCAACTGCCCAGTTTCCCGCAGTTTACAGCTTGCTTCTGAGCGAGAGGGGCCACCTCGCCAGGCCAACGAGCATTTCTCTAACACTGGACAAAGGGACAGGTCTCAGCAGTGATCGGTGACAGGGTCTGAGTACACAGGCCACAACGGACTCTGGAAAATGGCTGGTGCAAAGCCGAAAACAGAGGGGTTTTGAGTATCACCCTAAAAACCTGAGAGAGCACCCTCAGGATGCTGCTTACCCAAGGCTGGAGGCTGCATCTGGGCAGGAGCCTGCAGCTCCACAGTTGGCTTTCGTATCCAAAGTACCGGACGCAGCTGCACATCTCACCCACCTTCCTTGCTTGCTGCCCACCTCCCATTTTCCCCACTCGCCCTATTTTCAGCAAGACCTCTTGCCTTGCCCTCTTTGGCAATGGCTGTTAAGTGCAGGGGACCGTGACTGAGTGGCCGGTGCCCCGCGCTGGCAGATGCCCTGGAGGGGCTGTGCTGGAGGGGCTAGAAGGTGATGGCACACAGTGGGCAGGCTGCCGGCAGCATGGACACGCGGGCAGCCCTACAGCAGGAGACTGAGTAAAATCTCATTCTTTCCCAAAAAAATGCGAAGAGGGAGCCTGAGAGGGCAGGTTTCTTGCTCAGGCGCTCATGCCAGGGCTGCTGGACCTGCAGCTGCCATGAGTCCCTCGCAGGAACCCAGGGGACTGGGGCTGTCTGTGTGCCCCGCCATGAAGACACTATTTTAAGTGTGCATAAAGCTGGGAGACTTGTGGCTGCCTTCTCTGCACCAGATTTTTACCATCTGGAAGAAGGTGGCTGGCCAGGCTGCCTGGCTCAGTTCTGTAATTATACTTCGCAGATCTGCACCCCCTCCTGGGGCTTGAGATGGCTGGACCCCAGGACATGCACATTTTTTGTCCACGTTGCTTTCAGCCTTCTGGAGCCCAGGCACCTAAAATGTGCTTCAGGAGACCTCATGGTCTGAGCACAGCCATCACAAGGAAACAAAAAGCAAATAACGCAAGACAGCACAAGCTGAAAGCTTCACTGTGTGAACTGTCAGCCATTTTAAGGTGAGATGTTTCCACTGCTGATACGCTGTACTTGGATTTGGGACCTATAAAAAACATTACCAGAAGGTGTGGGGTTGTAGGAGACTGCAAAACCTTGTTTTGATTACACAGGCAAGCAACCATTAATGTCAACATCAAGGAAATTTAATGCATGAAGAAAAATAAGCCACTGTTGATTTGCTCTGCTGTAGCTCACAATCAATGGTGTTGGGCACAAACGGCACATACAGGGAGCTGGTACCAATGTCTGGGTGAGTCTTTGCCCCTCTAACACGAGCATCAGTGAGGCTGGTGCCACCCTGCTTGGCACCCTCCCATCCTCAAGCCACCACCCAGCAAGCGAAGGATGGACCACCAAATGAGAAGGGAAAACAACTAAGGTCAAATCAGCACAGGCCAAATCCTGCCTAGCACTGAGCGTTTTCAAAAGCCCCCGTTAAGCCCTTGTCTTGAGTCACACCTTGTGCAGATACTCCGCTCAAGGATGAGTTAGACCCTTGGCAGAGGGCCAGCCTCCTTCAACACCCACCAAGCTCAAATTCTGGGGGAATTGGGTCCTGGGTCCCTCTCCAGTTTATCTTTACAGTTGTCAGTCATGGGGAAGTTTCCAGTACAGATCTGCATAATTTATTGGAGGGTGTGAAGACTAAAGAACTACTTTAAGCACTGCCAGATCTCCCACAAGGACTGTGGATACGACCACAAAGGAAAGACCTGACGCAGTCTCTGGCACAGAAAGAGGCGGTATGATGTTGGCCATAATAGGTTTATGGACATGTCTACCAGGCTAATCAGCTTGGGAAGGATGCATATTGATGACCACATGACCGTTTTTTACTGAATTACTTTTTCTAGTGTGGCAAGAGATGCTGGCTGAAACACAGTGCCCATTCAAAGTTCCTAATCTAGTAATGCAATCTGAGCACATGGCAAGCCAGCAGTGTTTTGAACCAGGGATGACATTTAGCAGTGTTTTAAGCTCAGATGTAGAAAAACTTATGCATAATTCCATTATAAAAAATGTTAAAGTTCTGCCTTTAATCTACAGCCCACAGAAAGAGAGAATTAAGACGGAAATCTGGTGACCCTACTGAAAAGCAGCCAAGACCAGACAAAGTCCAGAGCAGCTAAGATCATGATAATGATTCTTATCATCACTGCAGGCTCCTTAAGTGCCAGAGCAGCCTTGCAGCTCTTCTCTGAAAGCCCCAAGTGCTCAAGAGTCAATGAAACCCCTGAAGGCCATGGAAGCTCTTCAGCTCTTGCAGCACCAGGGCTCCCACCTCATATTTCTCACTGATGTCTCCCAGGGTGGGCTCGGTGCTTGGCACGCCAAGTAGCCACCTCCATCTGTTTCTGCAGGATGCCTGGAGCATGTCTGCTCCAGCAAGGGAGCTTTCCAGGCTCCAACTCCAAGCCTTTACAAGAGCTGTGTGTTGTAGCCCTGCAAACCCAAACATACACCCCACAGCACCACAGACCAGCACTCCTGCAGCTTCACCCTGGGTGTGAAACCCCACAGAAATGCTCTGTCCTGAGGGTCCAGGGTAGTAACAACCCTGGAGCCATATTCTTCTTTGTTGGCTGCCTGGCTCTTCTGCTTGAGCTTGTTTTATGCAATAAAAATAAACATACCTTTTCCTATGAGTACAAATATTGTCCTTTCCATCCCTCTGGAGAAACAAAACAAATCTGGACCAAGACGGAAAGGGCACATGCTCCTTCCCTTCTAGAACCACTACCTATTTCTGGGACATCAAACCACCCCCTGACACACCCCTTACCAAAGTCACAACTCAGCACAGCGTATTTGCCTTGCTGAAAGACAATGAGCTGCTATATTATGGACTAAGACCCATATCAGTGCAAAGCCAAGCACATAAAGGCTTTGCTGGATCTGAGCCGAAGTAACCTCTGGTCATAAAAGTTCCCTACCTCAGTATCAAAGGCCACAGGGACTGCCACTTTGCTGTCATGACTCTGCCAATAATCAGATTTGGCTGCCCTAGTTCAGTCTCTTAATAGAGGTTTTGTTCTTAAAAGCATAAGATTATTGCAAGGAAAACCCAAACAAAGTATCAGGCCTAATGAGATAAAATACTGCACAGGGAAAGCTCACTCCAGTGACCCAAGTGATGAACTACAGATTCATTCAACTTTAAGGAACAAGAGATAATGGCAGCAGATTAGGTCAGGCAGCTGCTGACGTGCCAGTTGCAGGCAAGGTTGCCCAGCTGTGCAGGTCATGCAGGTAAGAAACAGGGGGGTCATAGGAGCAAGAAACAACCATTTGAAGGAATATACTTCAGTATTCCTCTATGCTGTAGCAAAATAGGGACCTGATCTCCTGCTGAGTTCCATGGAAGCAGAGGGAATGCCTGGGTGGGTGGAAGGAAGCAAAACTGGCCTTTCAAGCAAGCTGCACTGGTGGGTCTGGGCACCCTGCTTTTACTGTTGCTCTTACTGAAATTCACAGGAATTACTGAAAATATTTTCCAGAACTGCTTTTTAAAAGTCAAACCTAAACCTATGTTAAATGAACAGAGCCCCAGCAAAGCTGCGTAGCCACTTGAAAGTCTAGCTGGTGCTGGCAGTCACAGAGAAAGGAACTCACGATTCTGCAGGCATCCGTCGTGAATATCGAGTTTGGTTTGCTGTGCAAAAAATGTCTCAAAAGGAAACCACAAGAATGATCACATCTTCATCTGACAAACTGCATCAGACGGAGGGGGAAGAGATGAATGAGGAACTGTTAAATGGTTCTTTCCAGCTTTTGATTTTACAGCTCAAGCCAGGAGTGTTTTTTTCCCTTCAGATACTCAGAATTACTATATCTGTCAGGGAGATATTGCTGTGTGAGGTAGAATCAGGAATCCCCTTTCACCACCACTGACATTTGGGGATTTCTACATTGAAGTCACCATTCACCTGTCAGTCCCTTACATGTTAGCCAGCACAAGGTCTGAACCCCCCACCCTGAAGCAGCTACCGGAGTCACAAAACAGAGCTGGATGCTCCTTTGGTGGTAGCTGGTAGCTGGTAGAACTCCAGCAATGGCCATCAGCCAGGTCGGCACCGAGTCACTCGCGTGAGACACATGAGGCTGGCCCTGAGCCTCATGGTGTTTCTCCATCACCCATACTCCTACCCAGACCAGCACAGCTCAGGGAGCTCCCTCCTCACAAAATTAATTTAACATCATATGCACAGGGGTTACACCTCTGAGATCTGATCCAACTGCACAGGTTAAACACGTTTAAAAAGATGCAACAACAAAGCACAGGAAGGAAAAACCACATGAAGAAAGCCCACCCCAACACCTAAACTCAGTCATCCTCAAAGCCTCAGTCAGGGGCTTTCTGAATAACCATCCACGGCTGTTATGTGCAGCCACAGGCAGCTCATCCTCCCCATGATGGCAGGCAGGAAGCCTGATAAGGTTTCTGTTTGTTTTGTGTATGGGGGAGCATCACGGCGGGGTGTTGGTTGGTGCCACCTGGCCGCCGGCACGGTGCGACAAGGAGCAGATGCCGCCACATGGCACGGCACTGCCATGCTCTCCCGGGGCAGCAATTACAAGTGTCAGGGCAGAACAGAAAGGCAGCAGAGACCTCGCAGGCAAACCCTTTTGGCTGCCTCCTCTGTCCAAGCTCTCCATCTTGACATGGGTCCCGTCTGGCAAGAGCAGCAAAGCAACCGCTCAGGAGGAGCCTGGGCACATGCTGATTTACAAAACCTGCAAGAAATAGTGATGGCCATGCAGGCAGGTGGGAAGGAAACCTCCACACATCCCTCACCTGACTGCGGTCCCTACCTACACTGGAAAGGAGCCATAAATGCTGAACAGGTTTAAGACACAGATAACTGGACTGGAACAGCTGAGTGAAGGCCAGTCTGGGCTCTGAACCCCCAAGCTGGAGCAGCAAGGGAGAAGGGTTCCCAACAGATCTGCCAGTCAGTGTGAGACCTGGGGAAAGTGGTCCAAAGGGCTTTTAACGTGAGCTTCCACAGCCTGATCCTCAGCCCACTGAAAACAGCAAAAACACTTCCTGTGACTTCAGTGGGCTTTGGAGACGACTCCAAATATTGCAAACAGTTCTGCTTGGGACAGCACAGTGTGTATCTTACATCTGTCCATGCCAGTGCCCCCTGCACTTGTTTAGAGTTAAGTTGATGCATTTCTGTAGTTATAAGCACTTGGTTTTCACAGATTTCCTGTGAACACAGAACCATTAAATGAGTGACTTCTCCATTGAATAAACCAGCCAACAAATACATGCATGAATATTTTCTAAGCTGAGATGTTTATTTCATCTCTATATTCCATAACCTGTCCCTGTTTCCCAGCAGCATCCATTCTCCTTCTGTATGACAAGGATGGCGAGCTCTCTGGGTGCGTGGTGGCAGATTTATTTTACAAGGAGCCTAACTCATCCTCTGTGGGTCAACCAGCAATTTGTCTAACCATGCCCAAAATCAACACCACTGCCAACAGTTTACCATTGCCACTCGAGGAGGATCTAAGCGGATCCAAACCAAGTTTTCCGGACTGAGGTAATGCTTCTAGGAAATGACTGCTGCTTAGGTGCCTGAAGCCTGCCCAAAACACCCCATCCACCCTAAGCTGGATGCTCCAGATCCACACCTGGGCTCCCTTCTTCTCCAGTAACAGAGTCGAGGGCTTTCTCCAAGCTCTATAAAGCACACTGGCTCCCCTCCAGCAAAACACTTAAGCATGTGGTTTAACTTTAAGCATGTGATTACAGCTGGAATTGCTCATGGGCTTTAAGATAAGCACATGCTCCCATGTTGTTCTGTACAGGGCCTCGGCTGGGGCACCCCACCCCGGAGAGCCCCACAAACGCACCCACCGTGTTAGCTGGAAGGAGGGCTGCTGAGGGGGGAAGCACCTCCTCATCACACCTTTCCTTCACTCACTGCCTGCCTTTGGCACTGCTGAAGGTGACATAGAGCCAGCACAGGTAGCCCAGGGCCTCTGTGCAGAGCAGAGGTGTGACATGGGCGAGGACGAGCCCCCCAGGCCCAGCTCAGCTCACCCACAGCCTCCGGCCAAGCACCGGAGCCAGGAGCCGGCTGCAGTGAGTGTCGGGCAGACCCTCCCCACGGGGGGACTTCTGGCTTTTTGGCCAGGCATTGCCGACCTCCCGGGGCCACGCACACTTGCAGATCCCAGCAGGTAAAAGCCAGGCTGGGGGAGGCGAATTAGCGGTCGCCCTCACCCACTGGGCACCACAGCCCCTGCCAGCATCAGCGCGCAGGTTCCCGTGCTGCTTATTCAGGGACCATCGGCGAGCGGAGCCTTCCCTGAAGGGCTGCACAGCACATTCCACCTCCTGCTTTCCGCGGTAGGAACTCATAGATGGGAAACGGCCAGACAAGATGCCATCCTTTCAGAAGAACAGGGGGAGCTGGGCAGGGCTGGCTCTCGGATTTCTTCTGTCACACGCACGAGGCTTGGAAGGAAGGAAAATGTCCTCTGCCTCCTGATTTACACCCCATCCCCTTGCCCTTTCCTCAAGCACCAGGGCGAAAACCGGTAAGGGGCAGCGGCA